TTTTTTTTTTTTTTTTTTTTTTTTTTTTTTTTTTTTTTTTTTTTTTTTTTTTTTTTTTTTTTTTTTTTTTTTTTTTCCTTTTTTTTTTTTTTTTAATCTTTTTATCTTTTTTTTTTATCTTATGTTTTTTTTTTTTATCTTATGTTTTGTTTTTTTTTTTAAAAAAATAATTTTATATAATTTTATGAACACAAAGATATAGTATAAATAAAGTTTTTTATTATTTTAAGACTTTTAAAACACAAATAATTTTGATTTGTAGGAGAGCAAGAGTGCGATGTTCTCCTTTGTACTGTACATATTATACGAATGTGGATGAGAAATATTTACCATGGCCTTACACTCAACAAAATGGTTCAAGCCATGCACAAAAGAACAAAAGCTGGATGTGAAGATATCATTCATGATGCTATAAGTACTTGTTCTGTTCAAGCCAATGCAAATTATATCACTAGAAACTATTTAAAAAATTTGAAACAATGGGTGCTCTGGGCTCACCAGCATTCACTGCTTCTTCTTCAAATCACTTCTACTAATCCTCTGAAATCATTTCACAGTAAGCTAAAGGCAAAAATTTCTGTTAATTATGGTTTGATTGGCAAGTATCTTTAATTATTATTATTATTTTAATTTATTATTTTAAATTATTTTTTTTTTTAAAGAGAACTATCATTCATTGCCAGTGCGATGCATTTAGAGATGGGCAAGTTTAGTAAACGTATTATTACTGTTTAGTAAATGTATTATTACTTATTATTTCCAATTATTTAGTATTACAAATCATCAATTGATTAGTTGGTCATTATTTTTTCAGTTGGTTGATTAATCGATTAGTTGCAACTAATTGATTAATCGATTAGTTGCAACTGGTCAATTAATTGATTAGTTGCAATTAATTTATTAAATAAATAAATGATTTTTCAATTAATTCTTTGCAACTAATCAATTAATTCTTTAACCGATTAGTTGCAACTAATCGATTAGTTGGTGCCTAAAAAGTTCAGTTGATTAGTTGTCAACTAACCAACTAGTCAATTTGTATCACTACAATTATTTCTCTAAATGTTTCATAATAAGTAATAATAAGTAAAAAATTGTGATATAAGCAAAAAACGCAACCTGATCAGCAAATTATTAAGTTTCAAAACTTACTTTTCAGATTACATTTGTAAAACTAATAAGTAATAATCATTTATTATAGGTAACAATTAGTAATAATAAGTTCTGGAAAAAAAATAAGTAATTTATTACTTACATTATTACCTTGCCCATCTCTAGATGCATTACTACCTCTTGATTAGAGTTGTATAATTTTACGTAATTTTATGTTATTTTGCATAAGCTTTTAGTAAGATGGTTTTCATTATAATTCTATATGATTAGTTAGATCAATCTAATTCTAGCTTAACTCTAGCCCGGTTGCCATTATTACATTTTGATTTATTAAAGAGTGCACTTGCAATGAAGGATAATTTTCTAATTATTTTTTTAATTTATTTTTGAATTTATTTAGATTTTACTAGAGGTAAAATTCATCATGATATGCGTTTTAATTATTATTATATGCTCTATAGAAAATTTTACTTCAAATGTTAAAACAAAAATTAAACTTTAAGGTTAAGATTTAGGATTCAAATTAAATTAGAGGTTAAGTTTTTTAGTATGATAAACATTTTTACTTAATATACCAAATGTTGATTATCAAAGCCATCTTTGAAAAATAGTATACCAATACTCGGTAAATTTCACCTCCAGTGAGCATTAAAATCATCTTAATTTTTTTATTTTTTACCTTTTTATTTTAGTTTTTATTTATCTTATTATTACAGATGACCCTCGTTGATATCAACCCATTTGGATCAGATAATACAGGTTGAATTTTAAAGTTTCTATCATTTCTGAGAAAAATCAGCAGAATATCAGATGCTGATATGTTTGATAGCTAAATGATTTATAGCACATATTTTCACCTATCAGAAGGATATTGGTTCAGATAGGCATATCAGATATCAGATACTTCTGTTAAAAAGTATTGAATATCTGTTATGCCTATCAGTGCCAATATCTTTCTGATAGGTGAAAATACATGCCAAAAATCTAAGAAATGTTATAGAAATTTTAAAATTCAACCTATATAATTATGTTGATATATATGAGGATCGATAACTAAGAGGTAAAATTTATATGATTTGAACTTAATTTTTTAAAATTTAAGTTAATTAATGAGGGGTTTATATTAACAAAGTTGATACTAAGGAGGGTCACCGATATTTTTTTCTTTATCTATTTTATTTTATTTTTTTTAATTTGGTTTTTTTTTTAACTTATTCTTTATTTTTAATTAATTTACTTATTTATTTTTTTATTTAGGAGTGTGTCACATTCTTTTAGAACTTGATAACAAAAAAATGATAGCTGCCAAAGAAACTGCTATCAATTTTTGTACCAAAAGAATTTCTCTTACTAATATTAGGCCAGAAATTCTCACTGAGGTTCATAAATTTCCTTTTCCTTTTTAAAAACTTATCGCAGAAGAAGTACATGCCATCGCAAACAGACTAGAAGAAGGAAAGTGCTTACCCAACCTTGAAAGTGCAGAATGCTCATGCAGATTCTTCAATCGATATATGTTACCGTGTCATCATATTTTCTACGAACAACTTTGTAGAACCAATATATTAATGCCAGAAGCTTGGGGCAGATTTCAAAGAATATTCAAAGAAAGTGGCATAGAAGTATATCAAACCCATAGTATTGTAGAAGTACCTGTTGTTCAGAGATCTCTAGCAGAAAAAGTGGCAGAAAAAAGCCAATTAAAAATGAGTGAATTATTTGAAAGAACCCAGAACTGCTACTATAGGTTGGCAGAGAAAAGCACAGATAAGGCGTCACGATTCGTTGGCAATTTGGAAAAAATATTAGAACCAGCAATCAATTGAAAAAAATAAAAAAAAATAAAAAAATAAAAAAATAAAAAAATAAAAAATAAAAAATAAAAAAAAAATAAAAAAAATAAAAAATAAAAAAAAAATAAAAAAAAATAAAAAATAAAATTAAAATATATAGATGTTGGCCATAGAATATGTTAAAAGGTAAGTGCAAGGCATTTATTCATTATAAATAATCTACCAAGATGAAAGATGGGTTGGAATAAGAGTTAAAAAAGATAATGCAAAGCATTCATGCATTATATGCTAGGATAATCGAATGTACTATATATGCAATAAGTAATAAATAGTGTACATACAAGGCTAAGTTGTAATTTTTTTTTTTTTCATTTAGAAGTTTTTTTTTTTTTTTAAGCAATTTAAGATTAATGTTTAATAAAAACTCACAAATATTAAAGTTTTTAAATCTGTTTACAAACTTGAATAGCTTACTTTATTAAACACTTGAATGAATAAATTTTTTTACACTCACACACAAAATAATACAAAAAAAAAAGAAAATTAAATATTATCCATTCATGAACTAAATAGCTTGCTTTAAACATTTAGACTAATCAATTTTCTTTATTTGTATATGAAATTAACTGAATTAAGGGAAATTAAATAATAAATATTCATGAACCAGAATAGTTTATTTTAAATGGCTAGATTAATTTATTTTCTTTATACTAACGCACTAATTCAACATAAACAAAATGAAATTAAATAGAGTTTCTTGTATTACGCACCAATTAACCTGAATTAATGAAAATTAAATAGTAAATCTTCATAAACCTGAATAACTTATTATAAACAGCCAGATTAATAAATTTTTTTTATACTTACACACTGAATTAATGTAAACAAAATAAAATTTATATATTTATGCACCAAATTAATCTGAATTAAAGAAAATTAAATAATAAATCCTCATGAACCTGAATAGCTTATTTTAAAACCATTAAATTAATAAATTATCTTTATACTTGGCACTAAATCACCATGAAAATGAAAATAAATAATAAATATATGACTATCAGGTTGCTAAATATTATCTAATCTATTAAAAGGATTCACTCGACTGTGTTGCTATAAGATGTGGCTTAAAGCTAAAATTCTTTAATATAATTATTGATATTCTCATTTTACTCATTCATTCTTATGTCATAAACTTGAATTTTAAACACTTCAATTACAACAGCTAAATTAATATATAATATACCAGAGTTTGTAATCCTTAATCACCTCATATCTACCATATCTTCAATAAATTTGACCATTTACGCATGTTATTTTCTTCCATTGAATGGCTATAATCAGAGATACTACTCATCTACAAATTTATTTTATTTATTTATTTAATTATTTATAAAAAAAAAAAGACATATTACAATGTCTAAAAAATACATCAACATTTTAAATTATATTATTCTTACTTTTACCTTCCCAATCCTAATTTTAGCTTTATGATCAATAGTAGGCCTTTTCCAAATTATACGAAGCTTTTCAAAAGAAAGATTTTTTTTTTTCTTCTACTTAATTTCTTTGGCTTTGAAAGTCTATAAACGAAAGTTTTATGTTCATCACCATTAACCAACTTATATCTATCAAATATTATTAACAAGAGTCTACCACTTATTAAAATCTTTAATAGAAAACCGAAATGCTTCATTTATGTTAAAAAAGCATTCTCAGAAGGTTAACATTGCCAGAGCAGTGATTGCAAAGTTTTTTTTCATTTACAGTTTGTTACAGTTTTTTTTTTTTTTTTTTTTTTTTTTTTTTAATAGCCAAAAGCTGCTCTTTTGATGCTGAATTTAGCCAGAACTTGCTTCTTTGCTGTTTGCAAGATGCTTGCGAATAGCCAAGTCAGGTTTGTTGCTCGAAGATTTATTATTACATAATTTTCAAGTTCGATTTTTTTTCTTTTTTATTATGATTACTAGCTTGTTACAGGTTTCAACAAATTGAATCACAAATATCAGCTTCATGTCATTGCTTCGTAATAAGTGGACACAAGACAGAGAAAGCGAATGTTAGATGAGCGAATCATCAGCACATCAGACATACCCACACTTACCTGAATAGCTCTCATAAATTCATTTTCAGCATGCTGCATTTTCCGTCTTATCAATTGTCATAGCATGGAGGGTTTTTCTTTCTATAGTAGTGTTCTTACCGAAAACTTAAAGCTCACCGAGAACTTAAAGTCCAAATATGTAAAATTTTCTTAATAAAAAAAAAAAAAAAATCTTGAATTTATATCAGTCAACTAATTTTGTATGGGATGCATTGATTGGCTGCGTTGATTAGATGATCAATTGACTGTATAACCCCCCTGGACCATCAATTTAATAGTTACCCTGCTTTAGTGAATCTCCAAAATAAGTAATAAGTAAACGTTTATTAAAATTTTTTAATTGACATTTACTTATTACCTATTTTAGATAAATGATGTACATCATTTGTCATCACATATAAACAAATAGTAAAAATCGTAAAAAAATTGCCCAACTTCGTGATCATGATTCTTCTCAATTTTATTATTAACCACTTTTAAAATTTTATAATAAGAACCTTCAAATGCTAGAGAATTTACAAAATGATATCTATAAAATAAACAGATAACTTCTTTGTTGTTAAATAAGCATAAAAAGCAAAACTTACCCAAATTTTATATATAAAATTTAGATGCATCGATCATTTGATCCCATATTAAAAATTTTACACACATGATCTGCATAACAAATCATGTGACTGATATGTAATGTACGTATGTACATATATATATATATACATATATACTGGATTAAACTTGTTGAGTCGCAATAGCAAGGCCATACGTGAATAACCTACTTCCTATTTATTTATATCTTTAAAGTTTCGCATATGTGAAATTAAAAAAGGAAACTTTAACAATAACAGTATTGTTGGTTTATTTTCTCTTCAAACAATTACAGTTTATACCATACTAAAACAGCAAATATCATTAAAGTATAAAAGAGTAGGTAATTTTAAGCTTTTTTTTTTGGTTTTTAACTAAAAATTTTTTCAACCCATTTCACAATACATATAATAAATTTACTTCTGAACTATATAAATGCCAATACTTTTTGCCAATAATTTAAATAATAAGATGATTATCATTTTAGTTCTCATGGTAATTGAATCATTTATCTGAAATGTGATTAATCCATTGCTATGAACATAGTCATACTTACCTAAATTGTACAGGTATCAGCTTTTTTTTCAGATATCAAGGATCTTGTATCCATCAGCTTGGTTGTAATAGTAGTTCCAGAGCCAAACACTTATGAATGTCATTTCACTATATAATGCAGTATACATGAGGCAGTATAATAGTCATGCTCAATATTTTAATCTCCTGACTTTTGTCAACTTAAAAAAAAATAATTACACGATTTTTTTTTTACACTATGCCAGCAATAAATATACAAATTATTTAAGAGTCTAAAATACTATTTGGTTGGAAAATAGTACCAGAAGAAACTTATGTTATGATTGAACAATTCTTTTTAGATTTGGCTGAAAAGCATATGTTAAGCGATAATTTGGCACTGGTTGAGAAAATTGAAGTTCGATGTGGAAGCTCAAAAGTCTCTGTTAATCAAAATGTTAATCTTGAATGTAATTTATAGGAAATAGTGATGGAATACAGAAAACACTTTGTTTTTTGATTACTTACATCTCAAATAACTTCACCAATTTACCAACACACCAACTCCTTTGATATTATGTTTAATACTCAAAATTCTCTCACACTCCTGACATGGAAACCTAGCATCAAACCAAATAAAAAAAAACAACTATGAAACAATATAATAATATGGATTAAAAAAAAAAATGGAGGCTGAATAGGACCTGATGCAGCCAAGACAATTGGAAAGCCATTTATCCAAGATTTAACAAACACACTATGGTATATAGATGGCTGTAATCATAATACATTTACCCAACAATACAACTTACCAAAGTTTTTGAGAGTTTCATGGAATACAACAATCCACCAGACTATAAATATGCTTGCTCTAGATTTAATTCTGAAGAGCTTAATAAATATAGTAATTGTTTTCTGAAATATGTTACCCATCCATGAATATCAAGATTACTATTTTCAAGGTTTCTTAAAGAACCAGTAACAAAGCTAGGTGAAGATCTTTCTAAGTATGTGGAGTATCTCATTCACAAACGTGCAGAAACGCCTCGAAATCAAGAATTTGATCATCCTATAGTTAATGAGTATAATAATAGCCAGCTAAAAATCTTATCAGCAAATGTAAAATGTACATCAGATAATATTATAAAATACAAAAATCTTTCATCTGCTCTACAAGAAAAACAATATTGGCAACCAATTTTGGTTGATAACTTTTGCTCTTCGATGTCATGCATGTAAGCATCTATAAATTATTTAAAAAAACAATCAATTTGTTAAAACTCTATTATTCTAAATATAATAAATAGGCAGAAGCACTGATATATAACAAATTTAGATGCTGGATTTACATTCAAAATCGGAATATATGCTTATCACCATGGCAATGCATGCAATGCAACATATATTTGGCACATAAATGAAAATGCAACAAAAGAAGAAATTTCAAATGAACATTATAGAATTCGAACAGAAATTAAAAAAAATTTTCCAACTTATCATACGCGCCGTATGCATAGAGAATATTTGGACATATGTGAGCTTCAACTAAATAAACAGCCGAAGGCAAAACTGAGACGCATATATAAGAAATTAACTAATGATGCATCAGCTGCAAAGACAGCAAATCAAAAAGAAGTAGATAAGCACGTTAAATTAGCTTTTGAGCTAAATAATCCAAAAATAATTACCAATCTTAGAGAACTTAATGAAGGTAGACCGGGCAAGTAGATGAATTCTGGGCTGTAGGCAAGGGTTTTTTAGAAAGTACTGCACAAGAAGCTGTAGTTGCCATTAATGAAAGAAGACATGACCTAATTGTGCACCTTGCACAGGCCATTTCAGTTCATGATCTTCATGATATAATAACACAAGAAGTGAGAAAAACTAATTCATAAGCACCAATTCCATCAACCCAGTGGCTCCGCTTACAATTTTGGCCAACCATCCCAACAAATAAAAGTAGTTTGCAATATATGGGTATTTTACCTGTTAAATTTATAGTCCAGGTTCGTCAACTTCGTTGTGAACATGTTGATTTGCATTACACATCAGCATTATTTAGATATTTGAAAGAAATAGTCATAATGTTTTGAGATGAGGCCCAGCTTGTTTTTATAGATAATAAACATCACTATAAAATTGGTGAGCCAGGGCATCCGGTTGCAGCTATAGAATGAGGAAAATGAGTGCTAGTTAATTGCAACACAACATTTGCTGTAAGTGACCATGACTTCACAAAATGTGGAATTATCCCAAGTGTTACAATGTTGTGCAACATACCCAAGACAATTGAGGAGTCATTCTATATTGGAAAGGTTTATGTTGGATTAAAAGATTGTATATTTGAACCATCAAGTCCAATATGACATATTACGGAATTACATAATATTTTAGAAAGTACTGACAATAACAAGTCTTATCTCTTTTTATATACTAATGGTGGGCCAGACCACTGAGTAAACTTTCTTTGCATACAACTTGCATTAATTGCAATTTTTTTGGCCCTTGATCTTGACTTTTTAGTCACCATTCGAACACCTCTAGGACATTCATGGAAAAATCCTGTCAAACGAGTTATGTCATTTTAAATCTTGGATTGCAGTGCATTGGCCTTATGAGAACTAAAATAAATAAAGAATTGGAAATTTTAATGAAGAGCTGTAACACAATGGAGAAATTTATAATAAAGCCAAAAAAACACCTTAGCTTAAAAGAGGAGTAATTGAAAGTCTGAAACCTACTAAAACTATTATGCAAGATATTTTTGAATGACTAGAACTTAAGGGTGAAAATTTTTCTGTATTTGAATCTGCAGCTGAACAAGATATGGAACATTTATGGGAGTTAGTACTTGAAGTGGATGATTCATTAGTACCTGAAGACATGTTTAAGAAACATATTGAAAATAAGGTCAGTTTCAACTTTGTATTAAAAAAAAAAAAGCTTGTACACTTATAAATAGCATGTATAAAAATATTTATAGTCCCGTATTCTTGAGTTCATAAGTCATTGTTGTCGTTCAAGAAACTATTTTTTTGAAATTAGAAAGTGTCAAGCAGCTGAAACTGGTTGTGTGATCTGTAAATTGCCACGGAGTAAGTCTGATGCGTTTTCAAAGTTATGGTCCTTTCCTGACCCTATTCCTAAAGCAAATGAAGACCATTATATGTTATTTTATGAAATATATGGCAAAGATACTACTAAAAATACTGACCATCTTTGTTTCAGAAAGCCAATGCATCTAAATTATCATCAACCTTCACGACTATCAGTAGTCTTGGTATTAATGGTATGGGTTTTAGTCCCCGGGCACAATCTGCAGCAAATGTGTACGTTTTGGTTAAATGCATCGAGTGTAATCGACCACAGGTTTTCTATTCACAATACCACCTAAATCTGAATGAGAAAATTTTATAGAGACAATAGATTATACATGTAGCACAACATTTTATGAAATATCAGATCTTGCAAAAGCCAACTTATCTTTATTTTTAAATGATGACAATTGTAACATAGAAAATGACTTGATTGAACTTCAAAATGTAAGTAATAGTATGCATGAAGATGACGATAATGACATTGAAGATGTGGAAGACTATGATGAGACTGTCGATGAATCACCTACAGAACAATAAAATGATTTATCTTTAGAAACACTGTTTAGCCGCATATTTGTTAATGCAAAGCTTACCTGCTCGACACTAATGGAAGTTCCATATTTCTCATTCTGCCTTTATCTGGATGTTTGTTTTCAGTATGGTGATCCTGAAATTCTTTTGCCAATCCCTGTTGGTCAATAGCCATATTGTTCCGAATGTAATACTACTATTAAAGCTAAAAAAAAAAGGGCAAAGGTATTAAGTTCAAAGAAAAAACAAAAAAACAATGAAAAAAGGGCCACATAAGCAAAGGCTTTTATAAATTGTAATAAATAAATACAAAATGCAGTTTTTTTTTTGTCAATTCTCTTCTTCAATTCCTATATCCTAACAAATTATACTTTAAACCACGTATTACTAATTTACATGCCTACTATATTATCAATACAGTTATTATTTCTACTCTCGAATACCATCTTCAAAACATTGTAGTTAGTTAATCTACCTGCAATAAAATCCTTACTTAGCATATTGGACTTGTTAAACTCAAGGCCAAACTCTGCTGTACAATACCTTCTAATACCTTCTTACATCCTCAAATTTACAACATTAAACACATCTGAGATATTCAACTACAACACCATATTCCTAATCTTCTTAAATGACTTAATAACTCTGATCTGTTAGGCACATCAACTCATATCTGAATTTAACAGTTACAAAACAATCTCTGGTC